TAGAGGACTTTTCGACTCAGTTTAGTCCGCTTTATCTACACAAAAGTAATTGGCAAAAAAGGTCGGGACATCCTGTATACGCTATAATGTCAACTGCGGTTGCTTTCAACTGCTCTTACTTCACACGACAATTAATTTCATTGAACTTGAGAGCTCTAAAATGTTAAATTAAAACTTGGTAGTTGTATTACAATATTTTATATTAAAGTTAACAGCCTTGAAAATTTAACTTGGTTAAGATACACAAGTTAATTCATAATTAAATTAATTACATTAGAATTTTCAAGTTAAAATAATTAATTAACTTTTTAACTTGGCATTGCCCAATCTTAATTCTTATAGATATCAAGATAAAATTTTTATCTCCATCGCAATAGTAATATTACTAAGTAGAAATAAAGAAACTACCTAATCTTAATGCGGCTATTACTTTTAACACTTGACTAAATTGACTTTATAAATCAAAAAATTAAAGAAAATTACAAATAAATTTAATGGAAAGTGGAATACACACTGTGTATTCCACTTTCTGATAGGTTGAAATTCTTATTCTCTGTTCCCTATTCCTTTTATTGTGCGGAGCCTCTTACGTCTCTACCAAAGATATAATGGACTGCGCGATCCGTGTATGAAAATGGTCGATAGGGATGAGAGAGAGGGACCGTGGCAGACGGCCATTTCTATCTCTTTCCATTCAATGGTATAATGGGAGAGAGAATGAGAGGAAGATTGGCCGTCTGCCATGGTCCCTCTCTCTCATTATTGTCGACCACATTTGATACACTACTTAGGCCCGGTTGTTCCACCTTTTGGTAAATTTAACCTGTTGGGTAAGTAGCAAGATTACCCAATCACACGCGCGGATTGCCAGATTTACCTAACAGGTAAAATTTACCAAAAAAGGTGAAACAATCAACTCTTAGATACGGATCGCGCAGTCCAGTCTCTATGGGTGCGTTCCGTTTCTCGCATGATGCGCATAATGCGTCGTTTATCCTTGTTGCTCACCAAATGTTAAACAAGGACAATGGATGCATCATGCGCATCATGCGCGTTAGTCCGGATCTACAATAGGGGTTTTAAGCCTTAAGCCATAAGAATGGGCGAATCACAGTCGCTTATTCTTCTCGGATTCGACTGTAATTGGTCAGTTTCTTACGGCATAAGGCATAAAACACCTATTGTAGATCCGGACTTACGGAACGCACCTTATGTCTTTGGATAGGATGGACATGCGTTTCAATTACTACGTTTACACGGCACGCTTTACCCTGGATCTACAATAGATTTTTAAGCTTTAAGCCATAAGGAATGGACGAATCACAATCAATTATTCTCCTCGCATTCGACTGTAGTTGGTCAATTTCTTACGGCTTAAGGCTTAAAACACCCATTGTAGATCCGGACTTAAGCCGAAGTTATACATCGATGTTATGTAACTGCCCAATCACAGTCATTCCATTCTTCAGAGGACTAACTATGATTGGCCAGTTTCATAACATCGATGTTATAACTTCGGCGTAAATCGAGCCGTGTAAACGTAGTCACTGAGATATATATATAAGTATTTATATACGGTTGAGTCTATAATACAATTTATTTTCCTCTTTATATCTCGCAGTACATTTTTCTCTCCGAATGTAAACCATACTTCTTTTCGATAGATTATTTCATCTAGAAAGGAACTTTTTAGATAAAACTACATTTAGTGGTTTATCGCTAGAAATAGAAATGTTTTATTTGTTCTTCTTCAATGTTAATGGCACTCGCCGATAAAACAACGGTGATTTCAGCTAGTATAAATATCTATAATGGCTGCGTTCAGCAGACTCAACAGTTTTGCAACCGTTTTGTGATTCTTCGCTAAGATAGGACTATTCCTTTAAATCTAAAAGCCGCGACACAGACTTTTGCATAAAGCATAATGCATAATGCATAAACGAATCAACTAATCAGAATCTTTCCTTTCCTCCCATTCCATGGAAAAGAAGAATTTCGATTGGTTGATTCTCTTATGCACTATGCGTTTATGCGTTATGCAAAAGCTTGTGTCTGGGCTCTAAAAGTATAATCGAATCAGCGCGACGAATCATAAAACGGTTGCAAAACTGTTGAGTCTGCTGAACGCAGCCAATATATCGTAGAAAAATCGTAAAATTGGAATGCAATGCACCGGTAAATAGAACAAGAGAATGATGCAATCAAGACAAAAATGGCAAAGCGTCAGTGCCAGCAGAGAGGTGCCATAATCGCAGCCAAGCTAATACGATGGCAAGATTCTAATCTAGTTAGCAATCCAGCAGGAAAACAAGCAACGTATATTAAGGCCCGTCTACAATACACGGAGTAAGAAGTAAGAGTAAGAAATTGACCAATCACAGTCGATTATTCTTCTCACATTCGACTGTGATTGGTCAATTTCTTACTCTTACTTCTTACTCCGTGTATTGTAGACGACGCCTGAAACGCAAGTTTAAATCATAGTTTAAAAAGACCTTAGTTGCGTTCAGCGGACTCAACAGTTGAGAGTTATAGCGTGCATTCGTTTATGCAACGGTTAGCGCAGTGAGTATCATTTAATCTTTATTCAACACTCGGTGAACAACAAGGATAAAGTAATACTTGTGCGCTTGTCCGGATCTACAATAGAGTTTTAAGCCTTAAACCATAAGAAATGGGCGAATCACAGTCGCTTATTCTTCTCGGATTCGACTGTAATTGGTCAGTTTCTTACGGCATAAGGCATGAAACACCTATTGTAGATCCGGGGTAAGTCCGGATCTACAATAGGTGTTTTAAGCCTTAAGCCTTAAGAAATTGACCAATTACAGTCAAATCCGAGAAGAATAAGCGACTGTGATTCGCCCATTTCTTATGGCTTAAGGCTTAAAACCCTATTGTATAGATCCGGACTAATCGCATCCCTCTTTATAATTCTTATCGTTTCGATTCAACCTGATTCGATCATCGCTCTTTAAAACCTGACTAACGAAGGCTATGTTCCAAAATACACTGCCAGTGCTGAAAATGTATAATACATGTAACGTAAACTATAGATTTTCAGCGCTGACAGCTGGCAGTGAATTTTGGAATACAGCCTAATATGATATCACTGAATACATATCATTTTCACGCGGCGCGGTTCGAGGACCATCAATTGATCAATGCTGCTCATTGTTGACCGATGCGAATTGCGAATTGCGACGCGACGGAAGCGGCGGTAGCGCCTAGCAGCGGTAAGTCCGGATCTACAATAGGTGTTTTATGCCTTATGCCGTAAGAAATTGACCAATTACAGTCGAATCCGAGAAGAATAAGCGACTGTGATTCGCCCATTTCTTATGGCTTAAGGCTTAAAACCCTATTGTAGATCCGGGGTAAGTCCGGATCTACAATAGGTGTTTTATGCCTTATGCCGTAAGAAACTGACCAATTACAGTCGAATCCGAGAAGAATAAGCGACTGTGATTCGCCCATTTCTTATAGCTTAAGGTTTAAAACCCTATTGTAGATCCGGGGTAAGCGGTGGCGGTAGCGACGGTAGCGACCAGTAGTGACGGCCGTCGATGGTGCTCGCCGGTCTGGCCGGTCACGCCGCATTTACCATTAGGTTTTAGCAACCGTCGTGCACAGTCGTGAGTCGAAAAGGAGGATTCGACCCCAAACGTAAGTGATCGGTGATCTGTGCTGTGTGCCAGCTCTTCCACTTTTTCGCTTGCTAGCTGCTTCGTATCCGCCGCTCCTCTCATTTCCCTCGATCTCGACTCGTTCTTAACGGCGGTGCGTTCGCGAATCGCGCCGAAACTCGAATGTCAATTCGATATATTTCGTTGAGTTTCGAATTTCCGTTACGTTATGTAAAATAGGTGATTTTTTTTCTATCGCCGTACAATAAACACATCAAAATAACTCGTGATTTTTCGAGAAAATTTGTGATTTGATCGATAATATTCATCAATAATAAGACTATTTTTCCGAGCACGTGCGAAAATGTGTCTTATTACGCGCGTTTAAAAGGGGCGAGGGCAGAAGGTCCTTTTCATGGGATAATAACAATCGAAATTTGAGTCGACATTCTACCGATTGGATTCCAGAACTGTTGAGTGATTCTTTAATTCGGTACACCTCATGAGGCTCATGACGTAGTCTAACGCCTTGTATGTGTTCGACTGCTCGACGTGTCGCGTCGCGAAGAACCAGAGTATCTTGTGTGATTATATATATATATATCCGGAGGATGGCGAACTTGAAGGTGCGTGTCGATTCACCAAAGGTGCGCTACTCGGAAGATTTCATCGAGGCCGAGTACGAGTATCGGACGATTAGTGTGACCGAGGAGGACGAGAACGATCGCGATACCTACATGGTGAGAATCTGTTCATCGATCCGTTGCGTTCGTCCAATTGTCTCGAGTGTGTCACTAGTGCTCTGTAATGCTGACGCCGGCCGGCCCGGCTGGTCGATATCGGGGTAGTCTGTTTGTCAAGGCTCAAGCTATGCTCTCTTATCTAATTGTAAGAAACGATCGACGAAACTTTCCCCCGCCTTCTCGCTGTAACAGTTTAACAGTCCTTTTATACGTTACATTAGGCCTGTTCTTTTTGGCTGAACTTTTGCACCAGTTCATCGTTTTTCCTTTTCTATCCGGAAGGAAAGAAGAGGAAGAAAGA